TATTACGTTGTTCTGGAGGAAACGGAATGTTTTACTAGAATAGGGGTCTAAATTGACGTTCTTGATTGAGAATTGACATTATACATATCTTGATTGAGTTATAGTATTCTAAAAAAGGAACAAAGCTAAGGCTAAGAGATTGTAATACGTGTGAAAGAACAAGAACCGTTCTGAGACTACAAAAGAGGTTTATATTTTTTATTTAAAAGAAAAGAAGCAACTTGCATATTGTAAGGGATAATTGTTTATCCTCTTTAAAAACAAAAGGGTTGTTACTGGTTTCTTCATTTACTGTTTTCTTTAAAAAAAGGGAGTTATTACATGTACAAATAAATCTTTGTTATTCTTTTTCTCTATAACATTTGCACTTGTATTTAATTGAGTCTGACAAGTTACTGAATTCTTGGGAATTGCAAATAAGAATTGTTTAATTGATCTTTAGTAAACAGAGTAAAATTGGTACAGGAGGAAAATTCATTTTACAATTGATTTTGTAAATACAAAAAAGAGAAATGCCGGCCTAATTCACCATCCAACTGCCGGGAATCCAGGATTCATGTTAGAGAAATAATTAAATTAACCCCTAGGGTTAAGGAAAGGGTTACATACATTTTCTGCCCCCATGTCTTGAATTTGTGATCATTCTGAATGTATTTTAATAGACTGAATCATGCAGTGAAAGAGTGCACTGGACTTCATGGAATGTGTGCACTCTGTAGGCTCATTTTGTATGTAAGCTATAGACAAGTGCAAATCAGGTGCTTAATGCAAATGTAATTGGCCACATTTACAAAATCAGGCGATTATGTTCACCCATCTATGTAAATGTCTCTTTATGTATAGAGACAAAAGAATGAGGTTAATCACTGTCTGTCAGGTCAGTTTGATTGTGTATATTTGCAAAGACAATGATGAATGCACCAGAAAACAATCTTGAGCTTTTGGTTTTATTTCTCATCAAACACAAAAACAACTTTAAGCAAATAGTGTTAAATCATAAGGAATTCCAATTTTAATCAATTTTAACTTTAATCAAAAATGTATTTTATTTTATTTTTTATAGCGACTTTCAAGAACCCGATTAAGAAGGCGGTCATGTGTCTTACAGACAGGAATTGGGAAATTGAGAAGCAGAAAGGTAAATGAGTTACTTAGAGAACAAAGGGAATAGATGAGTTTTAAGTTGAGACTGGCTCCACTTCCGAAGATGCACAACTTCAAGGCGACTTTGTTAAACGTGTACGCCTGTGCACCAGGAAAAATGCATTTGTTCCCTGGTTTATGAATGTCCTAAAGGCATGCAGCATGATTTATTTTCTCTTGATTTATCATAAACTTGACATAAGTTGTTTTCTCGTGATCTAGACATAATAAAATATCTGGTAACGTCAGAAAGTAAAAATAAAACAATAACACTTGGCTTCTTCTTAGGGTTTTTTCTGATTGGATAGTTAAAAACACCTATCCTGGTGTGAAAAGGGAATTGGGAAACGCCCTCTTTTTTGTTCTTGAGCTCAACGGCTGCAGTCCTGGATTCAGTGAGAGCTGAGTAACAAATCACTTTCAGGAGAAACCCTGAACAAAGAGTCATCAAAGCTTTCGGACGCAGCTGCAGCGATCTTCTGAGGAGAGGTGAGCAGTTCACGGTATTTCTCTTATTTAAACAACTGTAACTTTACACAGTATGTTTGCAACAATAAACAAGGTCGTTTATGGCAAGCCGCTTTAGCTTAAAATATCCCCAGCGTTACTCGTCGTAATTGCATTTTTACTAGTAACAATTCAATTAGAGAGCTCTACAATTAAATTCTTACTAGTAACAATGTCAGTTAGAGAGCTCTCTAAATCAATTCTTACTAGTAACAATTATAATTACAGAGCTCTCTAATTCAATTCTTACTAGTCATATGTCTCCATTGACTTCCATTCATTTATAATTAGAGAGCTCTACCTCAGAATTTTTACTAGTAATAATTCCAGTTAGAGAGCTCTCTAAATACATTTTTACTAGTAACAATTCCGATTAGAGAGCTCTCTAATTTAATTATTACTAGTAAAAATACAATTACAGAGCTCTATAATTCAATTTTTACTAGTAAAAAACCACATTATAGATATGTTTAATTGCAGAGTTCTGTAATCGAATTAAAGAGCTCTCTAATTCAGTTCTTACTAGTAACAATTGAATTAGAGAGCTCTCTAAATACATTTTTACTAGTAACAATTCCGATTAGAGAGCTCTCTAATTTAATTATTACTAGTAAAAATACAATTAAAGAGCTCTATAATTCAATTTCTACTAGTAAAAAAACACATTAAAGATATGTTTAATTGCAGAGCTCTGTAATCGAATTAAAGAGCTCTCTAATTCAGTTTTTACTAGTAAGAACTCCAATTTAAGAGCTCTCTAATTCAGTTTTTACTAGTAAGAATTCCATTTAGAGAGCTCTCTAATTCAATTGTTACTAGTAAGAACTGAATTAGAGAGCTCTTTAATTCGATTACAGAGCTCTGCAATTAAACATATCTTTAATGTGTTTTTTTACTAGTAGAAATTGAATTATAGAGCTCTTTAATTGTATTTTTACTAGTAATAAAAATTGCATTAAAGAGCTCTGTAATTGTAATTCTTACTAGTAAGTATTGAATTGAAGAGCTCTCTAATTTAAGTATTACTAGTAACAATGCAATTGTAGAGATCTCTAATTGAATTAGAGAGCTCTCTAATCATAATTGTTACTTGTAAGAACTGAATTAGAGACCAGAGAGCTCTCTTATTGTATTTATAACTAGTTAAAATAGATTTAGAGAGCTCTCTAACTGGCATTGTTACTAGTAAGAATTTAACTGTAGAGCTCTCTAATTGAATTGTTACTAGTAAAAATGCAATTACGATGAGTAACACTGGGGATATTTTAAGCTAAAACGGCTTGCCATACACACACGCATTGAGCGGGATAATACGCAGAGCGGCATCCGGAATTTCGGTGCATCTCTAATTATTGGCGACATTAGAAATGGATATTATATAATAGCTGCTTTTTTGAACATTTTAGCAATTTAAAAATATTAAAAAAGGATTTTTTACACGGCACCCCTGCTCTTGACAGACCCGGCACCCCGGTTGGGAAACACTGTTCTAAATAATTCCGCGAGTGGGGCTTGAGGAAGTGACGTCGCCTGCGTCTGCGCAGTGCGACCTGATGCAGCCCCTGAAGCCACACACAGGAAACAGAAATACTGCAAAATAATAATAATAACGCGACTAAACGAGACGAAATAACTTTATAACATTTTGTTTCATCTCGTTTTGGTCAACGAAAATGAAGAGACATTTTAGTATAGTTTTTATTTTGTAAACCACATTTAGTCTCGTTTTTATTCGTCAACAATATTTCATTATACATTTAATTATAGTCATCGTCACATGACCAGCATTTTCGTCTCGTCTCGTTTTCGTCACGTGATAAAGGTTCGTTGACGACGATATAGTCATAATTTTCATTGACGAAAGCAACACTACAGAGGGCAGAATGAAAAATATGGATAGAAATGTTAACAATAGAAAGACAGAAAACAGAAATGCATAGAATGTGTGAATTAGCACATGTGTGAGTGCAGTGTTACTGAATGAGATTTTAAATTGATCTGCTCTTTGTGTCGACTCTTACTTTTGATATAGTAATATAATCATTTACAAAGAGACAAAACTTTGCAGAGGTGGGACCAAGTCATTGTTTTGCAAGTCACAAGTCTAGTCTCGAGTCAAATCCCGAGTCAAGAAAGACACGTCCCAAGTTAAGTTTCGAGTCTCAAGACAAGCAAGTCCAAGTCGAGTTGCAAGTCCTCCGCTTTAAGATGCAAGTCTTAAACACGTCATTAGTGCTCTTTGCCCAAATTAGTGTCTCAGTATTATTTACCATATCAAATTTATAGTCATTTATATCAGGAACACAGGTAGAATATGTTTGACATAGCAGTTCGATTTCATGTGAGATGGGTGCCCTCACTAAAACTACTCAAGTTCAATTTAGAGATTTTGCCAAAATAGGACAAGCAGTGAAAAAAGTAACAGAATAGCAAAGACAAAATACTTTCATAGAAATAACAACTGCAACAGACTTTGCATGTGTGCATAAGAATATATGGTTCTAGGTTTTATATCTAAGCCACTGAGCCATTATTTGGAACCTCAATGAAACACATTTAAAAACGCTTTCTGTTAAAAAAGAAATAACTGCTACCATACCACACTTTACAAGTAAAAGAGGAAACATGCAGATGAACTCAAGAAAACAGTCATTTAAAAATGCTTTGCTACCATCCTTTTTAACTAAAAGTAAAAAAGACAATCATTTTATAGAAAAAAATGTCAAAATATTAGACATTCAGATTCTCAAATATATGTAACGAAATGTTAAAGTGTTGTTGAATGTTATACATTAAATGTTAAGTTTATAATGTGCATAGTTGATCGCTAAATTTAGGGGCTATGTGCACTATGCAGATTGGATTTACAACACGTGAATGCATTCATTTATCCCAAAAGAAATGAAAGTGAGTGCCTGGTGAAGAGAGAGAAAAATTGAGTTGGCATCTTTTAGTAACATATAAAATGCTTATTTGGTGAAAGAAACCCTTATTCAAATTATATTTTAATGGATCATTATTGATGCTTGCCCAAACAAAAGACGTGAGAATTATGTTTAGCATTTAACAGCAGCGGGCACGGTGATGATGAGGCGAGCACCAGTGATCCGCTCCACTGGGCTGCGGTCAAACGGACAGGGCAGCGCTGTCACGAGCAGAGATAGTCACTACACGAATCACGAATCCTTTTCTTATCTCGGTTCTTTTGTCATAGGTAATGCTATTAATTTATACTAGCCTAGGCTTCATGTCCAGCCAGCACTCCCTGAACACAGTCTCTGGCTTATTACCAGTCAAGCGTAAGTACGCTGCAGGGATGCATCTAGAGTGATAACGACTCTGATCTGATCATAAAGTCTTTCCGAGTTACAGGGCTCAAGTCCAAGAGTCTTGAGTCATTGCTGTCGAAGTCTAAGTCGAGTCGTAAGTCTTCTTTAATTATGTCGAGTCAAGTCACAAGTCATCAAATTTGGGACTCGAGCCTGAGTCAAGTCCAAGTCATGCGACTCAAGTCCACACCCCTGACACTTTGTATTTGTAAGGCTCTGGTCTCTTCTGCTTCACTTACATAAATGCTTAAATGTGTATATTAGTAAAAAAAAAAAAAAAAAACCTTTGAAACTGATTTATTGTTGATTTATTGTTGAGGAAATCTGCTTCTTCTGTGTTAGCTTCTGCTGCTTCTGTGAGAAATCACTCTCGAAGTCTTGAGTTGTTGATGCCAGAGGATAGACTTTATTATCAGAGATAATGAAGCAGAGAAACTCTGCAGAGAATCTATAGTGTCTGCCCACTCTTTATATAGTTTTTCCTCAACCTTTTCACTAAGAAACCAGTTTTATCTCCAATAATTTAATGATGTTATTTCTAGATTTTAACAGCATGGCAGAAATTGTGTTGATCCACTGTATAGTTAACAGTATGCAGATCTCACACTGAAGAACATCTTTCTCACAATGTAAAGCAACCCTTCTCCATTACACACTGGCATAATGTGCCAACTGTAGCATGACAACAACAGCAGGAAGTGCTGATAGTACTTAACTTAGACAGCAGAGCTTTTAAAGATGAACTTGAACAAAACACAAACTTTCTTTTCGTTTCAACTAACCCATTACATTTCTGAAACTTTGTATCATACAATGATTTGATCATATATGAAAAAAATAAAATAAAAAAGACAAAGACAGAATCTGATTATTGTTACAAAAAATAAGCAGCAAAACGTTATAAGGTGTGATGGATCAAAAACATAAATAAATTCTAATTACATTGTGTAAATAAAGCATGATTTCTTACTGGGATAACTACAACTGTCTGTATTGTTTATTTCTTTTTCTATGGATTTTGTATGCAACATCTTGGAAAAATTCCTTACAATTTTGCCAGAAACGCTTAAATGCACATTGACAGCGACAGCCAAAGCACCTGCATATATCTTGATCTTTCTTTCTCTGTTCTTCCTCTTGTTTAGTTCTCTTTGCCTCCTCATATATCTCATTACTGTAATGTTTTCCTTCATTCTGCTCTGTCATTATGTCAATCTTCTGCAGTAGATCATTCACCTGCTCTCTGTTAGTTTGATCTTTGTTGTTGAAGATATGATACCCCTGACAGCTCTTAACAATTTTTTTTAACATTTCATGCTCATTTACCTCTGACTCAAATGTCTCGAGCTCAATATCATCCCCATGTGTGAAGAGCAGTATAAGATATTTCAATACATCTTGACCAAACATCATTTTAATTTCTTTGCATACCTCTTCCTCCTGCTCTGTGAATCTATCTGTAGGTAGTACAAATAAGAAGGCATGAGGTCCTGGTGTAGACAGAAACACACTCTGTGCCAGCTCCTCTGCCAGCTTCTCCTCTGGAAGTGTTGTGTCAAAAAACCCAGGAGTGTCAACTACAGATACATGTCTGCCTTCAACAACCGATTCTCCACATTCACAAGACTGTGTTACAGATTTCAGACTTTTTTTACATTTAAAAATGTTTTTTCCAAGTATTGTGTTTCCTGTTGAGCTTTTCCCAACTCCGGTTTTCCCCAGAAGGACAATATTAATGTTGCCAATGTTCTGCAGTCGTGCTCCTACATGTTTCAACAGGAAGAGAGAAAAATACATCTTTAGAACAACAATCTGCATATTATTTATATTTTATGTGTGATCATGTTGTGTGTGTCTCTGTAGACAATATAAGATTAAAATTATGATTGTTGGTTAAGATCACCTGTACTATTTGAAGGTAGATTGTTGAGCGGAAATCCTCTGTGATGCAGATTATCAGCCTATATGAGATTATATGATTATCAGACACATTCATAATAAAGTATTATAATATGTCGGTAATTTTAGACATTTTAGAAAAATGCCTGAATTAATGATTTTATACCATTGTCCTCTGTTGTTTTGTTCTCAGCTGCACTCCAAGACCTGTAAAAACATTAAAAAAACTATGTATGTATATATATATATATATATATATATATACACAGTCATGGCCAAAAGTTTTGGCAGTGACATAAATTTTGTGTTTTACAAAGTTTGCTGCTTCAGTAGGGATGTAACGATTAACTGCGAGCCGGTTGAAAATCGATTCAAATATGTGACGATTCAAATCGGTTGAGATGCTAAACAAATCGTGATTAATTTAGGGGTAGGAGTTTATATGAATGTACAGGTGCATCTCAATAAATTAGAATGTCGTGGAAAAGTTCATTTATTTCAGTAATTCAACTCAAATTGTGAAACTCGTGTATTAAATAAATTCAATGCACACAGACTGAAGTAGTTTAAGTCTTTGGTTCTTTTAATTGTGATGATTTTGGCTCACATTTAACAAAAACCCACCAATTCACAATCTCAACAAATTAGAATATGGTGACATGCTAATCAACTCAAAACACCTGCAAAGGTTTCCTGAGCCTTCAAAATGGTCTCTCAGTTTAGTTCACTAGGCTACACAATCATGGGGAAGACGGCTGATCTGACAGTTGTCCAGAAGACAATCATTGACACCCTTCACAAGGAGGGTAAGCCACAAACATTCATTGCCAAAGAAACTGGCTGTTCACAGAGTGCTGTATCCAAGCATGTTACAACGCTTTAAGCGCCACCTGCTGGCAGAGAGTGCATCTGCGTCTCATTCAGCTCTGCTGCTTCTGTTTCAGGCAGATATTTTTTATGCATAGTTTAAAAAAACTGAAGTCAAATCATTCTGTTTTTGCTTCAGATTTCGAAATTATACAATCTAATTTAGATTAAAAACTGCTCATGTTGCATGTATTTAGCATCTTTGTTTGGATCATGATTAAAATGCAGTGGTTGCCTCTAATTTTAAAAGGAAAGAGCACAGACAAAGCCTTAGTTTGTAAGATATTTTTTTATTTGTGTTACTTATTTATTTGATTCGGGGCTTGTTTTAAAATTTAAATTTAGTTTTGTTATTTACATTTACATTATATTATATTTTTTTTATTTAGCAGACACTTTTATCCAAAGCGACTTACAAATGAGGACAATAGAAGCAATCAAAACCAACAAAAGAGCAATAATATGCAAGTGCTATATTAGTATATTATTATAGTCTTATATTTCAATTTCACAAAGAAACGTGCAACATTTTGTCCAAGCAATAATAAAATAACACATTTTATTTATAATTTGTCTTAAATCTAATTTTGTTAAAAAAATCCTGAATCGAATTGTGAAATCAAAATCGTGAATCGAATCGTACTTGAGTGAATCGTTACATCCATATGCTTCAGTATTTGTAGATTATTTTTCCACGTGTTTCTATGGTATACTGAAAAACAATGATATGCATATCATAAGTTTTAAAGGCTTTTATTGGCAAAAAATATAATGAGTCAATATTTACAGTGTTGACCCTTGTTCTTCATAACCTCTGCAGTTCGCTCTGGCATCCTGGATATAAGCTTCTGGGCCAAATCCTGACTGATGGCGATCCATTCTTGCCTTATTAGTTCTCGGAGTTGAACACAATTTGTGGGCTTCTGCTTGTCCACTCGCCTTTTGAGGACTGACCACAGGTTCTCTATGGGATTGAGATCTGGGAAGTTGCCTGGCCACGGATCCAGAATTTCAATGTAATGATATTCGAGCCACTTCTTTATCACTCTTGCTTTGTGACATGGTGCTCCATCATGCTGGAAAATGCACGGATCATCACCAAATTGCTCATGGATCATTGGAAGAAGTCGCTCTTGCAGGACGTTTTGATACCATTCTTTATTCATGGCAGTGTTTTGGGGCAGAATTATGAGAGCCCACTCCCTTGGTTGAAAAGCAACCCCACACATGGATGGTCTCAGGATGCTTCACTGTTGGGACGACACAGGACTCATGGTAGCGTTCACCTTTTCTTCTCCGAACAATCGATTTTCCAGATGTCCCAAACAGTCGAATGGGAGCTTCATCAGAGAAAATGGCTTTGCACCAGTCTTCTGCTGTCCAGTCCTTGCAGAACTTCCTGCAGAATTTCAGTCTGTCCTTGACGTTTTTCTTGGAGAGAAGTGGCTTCTTTGCTGCCCTTCTTGACACCAGGCCGTTGTGCAAAAGTCTTGGCCTCACTGTGTGTGCAGATGCTCTCACACCAACCTGCTACCATTCCTGAGCAAGCTCTGCACTGCTGGAGACACAAATCTGTAGCTGACTCCTCAGGAGGAGACGGTCCAGGCGCTTGCTGGACACTCTGGGACGTCCTGAAGACTTCTTCACTGCAGTCCAACCTCTCTCCTTGAAGTTCTTCATGATCCGATAAATGGTTCTTTCAGGTGCAATATTCTTTGTAGCAATTTCCTCGCGTGTGAGGCCATTTTGATGCAAAGCGATGATGGCTGCACGTGTTTCTTTGGAGGTAACCATTGCTAACAAGAACACAATGATTGGAAGCACTTCTTCCCTCCTTCTATAGCAATCAGTATGCTCTTACAATCTAATTAGTATGATATTGATTAACCTGACTAGTACTCATTCACACTTTCACATGTGCTGCTGATATGATTAGATAATTAATGTTAGCTGGTCATTTTGTGTCAGGATCAAAAAATAGTTAAATTAGTTTTTTTGTGAAAAGTAAATTTTTTGGCCTATGAAGCTTTTAGCAATTATTTAAAATGCATCTGATCACTCTACACAATAATCTAGAAACAATGTGAATGAACACCACAACAGCTTAAGCTGCTAACTTTGCAAAACACAAAATTGATGTCACTGCCAAAACTTTTGGCCACAACTTTATATATACAGTCATGTGAAAAAGATAGGACACCTTATTGAATTTCATGGTTTTCTGTATCAGGACATAATAAAAAAAACATGTGGTCGTTGGCAGGTCTTAAACTTTGGAAAATAAAGCCTCATATGAACATGACATAGCACACAATGTTATTAATTAATTGCCAAAATGGAAAAGCTATGGGTGACAAAGTTAGGACACCCTATGATTCACTTGCCTGTAGATCCACTTTTAGCAGCAATAACTTAAAGGAATTATTCCTGTATGACTTTATCAGACTCTCACGTCATTCTGGAGGAATTTAGGCCCACTCTTCTTTACAATGTTGCTCCAATTTATTGTGGCTTGTGGCCATTCGTTTATGCACAGCTCTCACTACAGCATTTCAGTCAGGATGAGGTCTGGAGTTTGACTGGACTATTGCAACCCCTAGATTCTTACCTTTTCATCCATTCTGTTGTAGATTTGCTGGTGTTCTTGGGATCATTGTGCTGTTGAGTGACCCAGTTTTGGCCCATCTTTAGCTGTCAGACGGATGGTCCATGATATTTGACTCTTGAATACTTTGGTATACAGAGGAGTTCATGGTCGACTCAATGACTGTGAGGTGCCCAGGTCCCTGTGGCTACAAAACAAGACCAAAATCATCAGCCCTCCACCAGCATGTGTGACTTTTGGGATGAGGTGTTTGTGCTGATATGCTCCTTAGGTTTTCACCAAACGTGGCACTGTGCATTATGGCCAAACATCTCCACTTTGGTCTCATCTGTTACAAGGACATTGCTCTAGAAGTCTTATGATTTGTTCAGATGCAACTTTGCAAACCTAAACCATGATGCATGTTTTTTTAGATATAAGAGGCTTTCTTCTGGCAACCCTTCATGACATGCCACACTTGTCCCATATTTTTCTAATTGTACTGTCATGAACGTCATAATTTTCAGTTCTTGGGTAGTCTGCCATTTCTCTGAGCCTCACATGGTCTGATCTTGGGGTGAATTTCCAGGGACGTCCACTCCTGTGAAGATTGGTGTTGTTTTGAATGTCTTCCACTTCTGAATAAACGTTCTCACTGTGGAATGATTGTTTGTAAATGGCCGTATTACTCTTCCCACACTCTAAAAAATGCTGGGTTATTTTTTTTTAACCCAAATGCTTGGTTCAGCTTGTTGGGTCATTTTATTGGGTTATTTTTAATATTTTACCCAGGTGCTGTGTAGTTTTTCTGTATCTAAGCTGCTACGTCATTTTTCATTCTGGGTTATTTTTTTCTACCCAACCGCTGGGTTGAGCTTGTCTCCGATCATGGACTTTTTGCGTCCTCTACAGGAGAGAGCGGTTCTCAGCACCACCGCCGTTGATTTGGTGCACTTCTTCAGCGAAATTGCTGTTTGTATACATTTGTTGTATGCATTGTGCATTGTATACACTTTCATTTTATTTATAATGTCTTTATTGTACTGTAAATTATATTATTTTACGCAACACAACATTCAAGGACGAGATGTCAATCAGTTGCATCAGCAGCGGTCTTTTTGCATGATGGAAATGCCTTTTGCCTTGCACAACAAACTGATTTTAATAGTTGTAATACTGAATTTAATTTACTTTGATGTTAAAATATCTTCTCTAATTGCAGTACTGTTTGTTTACGGGCAGGTTTTGGAGTCAGTCACGGCATCTTTCAGCTACGAGTGAAACACAAGGCGGCGGTCTGAAGTTCGCAGTTCCCCTGCGAAGAGCGAAGAGCGAATAGCAGCCCTTCACCGGCTCAGATTTCAGCGACACACTGGCATGAGAAATAGCACTATTTCGGTGAAAAGTGATTACAGAGAATGGTTCAATACACTTAAATTAAAATGCTACTTTTAAATGTTACATTTTCATTTCTAAAATGCTTGTTAAACGAGTTTAAATATTTGTAATATTGTAAACTATGCTGTATTCACCCAAATAAATTAAATTTCTCTTATATTTTGTCCATGGGTGTTCTTGCTTAGTAATAAATGTTTATCTTTTTATTATTGCTGTTGCCAGTGTAATTTTTGAAACAATAGTTGACTTAAATAAAACAACCCAGCATGTTGGGTAAAATCCTTTAAACCAACTAGCTGGGTCAAAATAACCCAGCATGTGTTCTGTCCAATATTTACCCAGTGCTGGGTTGCCAAGTTGGGTTGTTTTTAACCCAGCATTTTTTTAGAGTGCAGATTGATGGCAGCAACAACTGCTTCTCTAAGGTCATTGCTGATGCATTTCCTCTTTGGTATTGTGTTAACACACACCTGAAGGCTCCAGACCAGCAAACTGTCAAAACTGCTGCTGTTGTAAAGGTGCTCACACTTGCTGATGACCAGTTAATCAAAGGCATTTGATTAGCAGTGCCTGATCGTTACTTACTGTACCTTTTTTATTCCTATGTTAACAGTAAGGGTGTTCTAACTTTGTCACACATGGTTTTTCCATCTTGGCTTTATTTCTGTTAAATAAATAATGACACTGTGCAATATGTCACGTGAGGCTGTTCATCTGAGGTATTATTTTCTAAATTTTAAGACCTGCCAAGGACCAGATATTTTTTATGATGTCCTGATATGGAAAATAATGTATATATGACATCCTATTGAAGTCCATTATTTTTCATATCAGGACATCATAAAACATATCTGGTCCTTAGCAGGTCTTAAAATTTAGAAAATAAAACCACAATTCACAGAAACAAATATGTGTGTGTGTGTGTGTTTAGCTCAAATGAAGTGAAAAAAGAACTGAGGAGCTCAACCCCCACCTCAGTTCCTTTTTCACTTCATTTGAGCTAAACACACACACACACACACACATATTTGTTTCTGTGAAGTGTGGGGACTTTCCATAGACTTACCTTGTTTTTATACTGACCAAACGTTATTTTTTTATCCCCTAACCCAATCCTATACCTAAACCTACCCATTACAGAAAACATGTTTGCATTGTTACACTTTCAGATAAACATCATTTAGTATTAAAAAAAAATAAATCCCCTTGTGGGGACCGCAGATTTCCCACACATTGTCAAAAATGTCAGGTTTTATTATCCTTGTGGGGACATTTGGTACCCACAGTGTAACATAAACAAGTATACACACACACACACACACACACACACACAAATGATGTAATGATATTCATTGACTGTGTGTGTTGTTCATAAAAAGACCACTAGATGACACTGTTAGAAAAAAAACGCTATCTGCAATTAGGGAATTAAACATGAAAATGTGAACAGAAATAAAAACACAAAGACGCTGAGCTGATAAAGTATTTAATTTGAATCACTGATTCAAAACAACTGCTACTACTCCAAACTGAGCTACTGACTGTTTTTCTGTCATTGGATCTCTATACTGTGAAACTCTGAAACTGATTTTTATCATTGTGATTTGATCTGGGTAGTCTTTTACATTGCCAATACCTGACACCATTATTCTACACTAGAGGAAATGATATCAGATCTGAAATGTCTGTCTGTTATTCATAATTACTGACTAGAAAGAAGACAATGATGTCAAACTACAATGTTGTATCTGCTATTAGAATATACAATTGTTATAACCGCTTTTAAGGATATAAAAATACTCACTGCAATGCTGATCTTCCGACACACGAACTGTTCAGTTTAGTTTCGCTTTTCTGAACAATCGCATATTTATAAACTCTTAGGATGCCATTAGCTCCACCCACCAGAGGAGAAAATAGCGTAATGGAAATTTACTGAACACAATGAGCTGCATTTGAAACGACAGCAGATGTTGTATTATTGCTAAATAACAGAGAACAGTCATGTATTCATGTATTTCATATGTCATTCGAAGACATTACGAATATAATCATAGTGTGTGTGTCATAGAATAGTGGCTTACGGTGAATTCTCTCTCTCTCTCTCTCTCTCTCTTCAAGAGACACTACATTCTGGCCTGATGTAAATGTAGATTTCTTCATTATGAAGAAATACGAAAACGTATGCCACAATATCCTCTTGAGACATATACAGAACAAAGTGTTCAGAAGTGGGGCGAGTCAATCAAAAGTGAAAGTAGCCTACACGGAGCCATTTTGCCCATGTGAATTTTACAACATCATTGTACTGCTGTCACTCCGTGCAGTGCTCACACAAACCTGGGCGCAATTAGCTGCAAAGATTTGGACCAACAACTATAAGGTAAGGCAACGCATCTAAATAGACATAGGATACATAATGAGTTAATTATTACATGGTCACTATTGTTAAAAATAAAAAAAACAAATAATAATAAATAAAAAAAACATGATCAAGTTATGGAAAGTATGCACCGCAGCATGATGACAACAAGCTGATCTTAACTTAACAAGCCTTTGCTGAATATTTTGCTGTTTATTTTAAAGTTGTTTCAAGAGTAAAATATGTATCAATATGTATCCTAAACATTAGAAAAAATCATACATTTAAATATTTGGACAATATTTCTGGTGTTTTTTCAGTGATGGAGCAAACTGTCAACCTGTCGTCAAACACTCGTAATCTTCGTCTTCTGCTGATCGGCAAAACCGGTTCAGGAGTTAGTGCTTCTGGAAACACAATACTGGGTCTAAATGTGTTTCAGTCTGGGCGGAGCTTGACCTCCATTACTGACAGATGCCAAAAACACACGGCTGAAGTGTCAGACAGAAGAGTTACAGTTATTGACACTCCAAACTTCTTTAATTCAACTGACATTGATCTGAGTGTGGAGTTGAAGAGAGGGCTGAACATTTGCTCTCCAGGAATCCACGCAATCTTTCTGGTTCTGCCTTTACAGACATTCAGTCAGCAAGATGCAGATACAGTGTTCTTATTCAAGCAGATGTTTGGTGAAAATGCCATGAAACACACATTTGTCCTGTTCACACATGGAGATGAGCTTCAAAATGAACCACCTGAACAACTAATAAGAGAAAACACAGAGCTGTCAAGACTAACAGAGGAGTGTGGAGGGAGATTTCACTTACTGAACAACAAAGATCTGAACGACAGAGAGCAGGTCACCAAACTCCTGATGAAGATCCAACGAATGGTGTCTGAAAATGAGAACAGCTGCTACACTTTACAAATGTTTAAAGATCAGTCACTCAAAGTGTTTTTGCAGAGTTTTGCAAAGCCAAAATATCTGTGTGCAATGAGTGCTGTCATTGTATTTGCACTGATTTATGTTAATATTTGGGCATGAGATTTAGTGATCTCTTACAGCCATAATTTCCATTATCTTCATATGAATCCCTATTAATTTCATTAAGTCACCATAGAAAATGAGTATATGTGAAATATGGCATGTAAACAAAATTGCAATTGTTTTTTTAAACAATACTGTCTTGTATGGAGTTGTTTTTCAAGGACATAGTAGTTTATAGTTCTTTCTTTTTATTATTTCACATTTATCTGGCATCTAGACTAGCTCTTCTTTTGAGATAGGAATTACGATCTTGAAATTGAAATCTTGAAATTGAAATTGAAATTGAAAGTCTATAAATTGAAATCTACACTGCTCCTGTTTTTCTTCATTCAAGTTTAAATTACATATTTGTTATTTTCCACTGAATTCTCTTTGTATTATCTACCGTATCCTTTCCGTCCTTTCACAATGAAATGAAAGGTACTGAGAACAGCCACAGGCTCAGCACCCGCCTACTTCCACTCACTACTACGAATTTACATCCCCTTCAGAAGTCTGAGATCCGCTAGTGAGCGACGCCTCGTGGTACCATCACAGAGAGGCTCAAAATCACTTTCCAGAACATTCTCGTTCACCACTCCTGGCTGGTGGAACGATCTTCCCACCCCTATCCGGAATGCTGAATCCCTGACAATTTTCAAGAGACAGCTGAAAACTCATCTCTTTCGAAGCTACTTGACTTAATCATAAAAATAAAAAAAATAAAAAAAAACTCTCTCTTTATTTATTCCTTCTCTTTCTAGCTTGTACTTATTTGAACAATGTCTAAGAACTTGGTATTACAACCACTTCTTGTGTCTGTTTGCCTCTTTAAGAAGAATCACTTTATGTATCCCCCAATTGTAAGTCGCTTTGGATAAAAGCGTCTGCTAAATGACTAAATGTAAATGTAAAATGTAAATGTACTGTCCAGTACGATGGCTTATCCTCAGAACCTTTCCTGATCCGAAGCTGCGTGAAGCAAGGTTATGTACTCGCCCCGACACTCTTCGGCATCTTCTTCTCTCTGCTGCTGTGCCACGCCTTCAGTCAGTCAGAAGATGGTGTCTTCATTCGCACTAGGAGCGATGGCAACCTTTTCAACCTTGCACGTCTGCGCGCAAAGACCATGGTGGGCAGGGTCCTGATTAGGGAGATGCTGTTTGCTGATGACGCCGCCCTGACTGCCCATACCGAGGAAGCACTACAGCGTCTCATCAGCAGCTTCGCTCGCACTTCTTGGGCCAGGATAACAGCAGCACTCCCTGCATCTCCATCGGCGATCACACCCTCAAGGTAGTGGAGGACTTTACATATCTTGGCTCCACCATCTCCAGCAACCTCTTTTTGGACAACGAGCTGAACACCAGAATCGGCAAGGCATCAATAGTGATGGCCCGCCTGACCAAGAGAGTGTGGAACAATAGCATGCTCACCACCAACACCAAGATGAAAGTGTACCAGGCCAATGTCCTCAGCACTCTTCTCTACGGCAGCGAGACGTGGACTATGTACACCTGGCAAGAACGCAGACTTAACTCTTTCCATCTGCACTGCCTGGATCCTTGGATTCACCTGGCAGAACCGTGTCCCAAACACTGAAGTGTTGGCCCAGGCAAAAACATTCCGCATGCACGCACTCCTTTCACAAAGACGCCTATGCTGGCTCGGCCATGTCTGCCGAATGCAGGATGGCCGGATTCCTAAGGACATCATGTATGGCGAGCTCGACCAACAGGCAGACCAGTGCTCCGGTACAAAGATGTCTGCAAGCGTGACCTGAAAGCCGGAAGCCTGAATCCTGCAGACTTGGAAGCTGCTACCGTAGACCGTGTCGGCTGGTGGCTCGCCATAAGGACCAGCACAAAGCTGAGCGAGGGAAAGAGAGAGGACCAGTGGAAGATGAAAGTGTACCAGGCCAATGTCCTCAGCACTCTTCTCTACGGCAGCGAGACGTGGACTATGTACACCTGGCAAGAACGCAGACTTAACTCTTTCCATCTGCGCTGCCTGAGGAGGATCCTGGGCATCACCTGGCTGGACCGTGTCCCAAACACTGAGGTGCTGGCCCAGGCAAAAACATTCAGCATGCACGCACTCCTTTTCACAAAGACGCCTAAGCTGGCTAGGCCATGTCTGCCGAAATGCAGGATGGCCGGATTCCTAAGGACATCATGTATGGCGAGCTCGACCAACAGGCAGACCAGTGCTCCGGTACAAAGATGTCTGCAAGCGTGACCTGAAAGCCGGAAGCCTGAATCCTGCAGACTTGGAAGCTGCTACCGTAGACCGTGTCGGCTGGTGGCTCGCCATAAGGACCAGCACAAAGCTGAGCGAGGGAAAGAGAGAGGACCAGTGGGAGGAGAAAAGGCAGCGCAGAGAGCAGAGTCAGTGCCCACAGAAGCAGTCTCAGGCTTCACCTGTAGTAACTGCAACAGACTCTGCCGCTCTCGTATTGAACTGTTTAGCCACAGCAGGCACTGCAATTCCACAACAGACTGACCCGGGCGCAGATACTCCATTGTCTTTCGAGACTGAAGGATACCGATTTATCAACCGTATCTTTAATGGTTTTCATCTTTGTGCACCCTCTGTATGACAACAGCTAGGACGGGATTGTTACTTTTCTTTCTAAGCAAAGTATAAATTGTGCAAATTGCTTAATAAAGATTGAACATTTGGGACAGTGATCGTTTTTCTAATGAGTTTGGTTGTAGTTATTTGATGCTATAAAAACACAGTGTGGTGTTTTGATTGTGAATTTGCCACTACAGGGGTGACATTTTAGGTTCAATTGAAGAAAATGTTCCCTTGTTCTGGCTGAATTACCTTTTGTTAAACCCTAGCTTGCTCACAGTTTCAAAAATATTAACCAAATATATTGTGTTTTGGAGCTAGTAGCTTGGTTTGTTTAAGCCATTGACTGTATAAAACAATGGATGTAGTGTCCGTGACGTCACCCGTAGGTTTCTGAAGAGCATTTTTTAAGCCCAAAGTGGGCAGAGCCGGCGGCCATTGCCATCTTCGTGGCATGTCACCTGAGCTGTGGCCCAGGCCTCAGAAGTGCGTGAGATGCTCCGCCTTTGCAGGATTTCCTAATTCCGCCACCAGGTGTTCCTGATTACCGCTCATGTCGCATAGCAATGGTACGTGAGGAAAGCTGCCATCCTGACATAGATAGGTGGAGCCAGAATTGCTCATTTTTGTTTTTATGTTTTATATCACAATGGAGGAGATGGTAGGAATGTTTCAGCCCCGGCTGCACCGGTGAAGTTCCTCAAGCTTAGCCAAGACCGAGGCCAGGTAAACTGGTTTGCTGCATCCTTAGTTGCTGGATTACAACTTTAAATGCAGGTATTGGCTTGGAAGTCAAGTCAAGTCACCTTTATTTATATAGTGCTTTTAACAATACAGATTGTGTCAAAGCACTTCACAGTATTAAATAGGAAAACCGTGTCAATAATGCAAAATGACTATAGTAAACACTCAATTTTCAGTTAAAGGCAGTTCATCATTGGACTCAGTGATGTCATCATCCAGCTCAGTTCAGGTTAAATAGTCTCTGTGCAATCAAGTCGACAATATCACTGGATATTAAGTGTCCACAACTAAGCAAGCCAGAGGCAACAGCGGCAAGGAACCAAAACTCTTACTTGAATAATGTAATCATACATTTGAAAAACTATAAAACACACACACACACAGCAGTTCAAATGCTGACTGATATCTTACAAAGGTGCAATGTTATATAGTTGTCTTGACCATGGTGATCATATGTAGACAGGTTTGCAAAAATAAAACTGCGAGTTTAAAAAAAAGAGCATTGTACAGCTCAATGTTCAGCGGTAGCTGTGACAGCTGAACAGTGCTCTGTTTGACCGGTCGGAGTCCTTCAGATGCAGCCTCTGATATAATTAGCAAAAATTTGTTAATATTCGGACATAAATGTTGTTACTTTCATTTTCAAAATAATCAGTAGTGGACTGTAAGGAAGTACATTTGTTAAGTATTCTTGTACAAATATGAAGTACTAAGTTTTCTTTTTCCTCATAAGACAGCAACACTAAAAAAATATGTTTTTACATCATGATGCATTGTTGTAGATTAAACTACCCAACAGTATATGAAGTCGGCAAATTTAAATTTAATAACCTTTTTTATAATTCAACTTTTTTTTTATTGTTCAACAGTCAAAACTTTGTACATCACCACAGTATTCAATATTCACCTTTCCAAACAATTGCATATTCAGCCACTAGTCACCATCAATGTAATAAAACAAAAGCACATGGAAATGTGACAGTTGTTAATGAGTCCTGCTCATCAATCACACCATTTTGCTGCCAAAAATGATCCCATGTTTTTTTTAATTTCTCCCTCACTCTGCAGTCTCCCCAACATGCACTCATATGATGCAATTTCAATCATCCCATCAATCCAATCTTTCAAATCTGGGGTTTTGGGGCATTTCCAATTGCGCAAGATCATCCTGGCAGCTGTGATACAACCAATCTTAATAAGGGTAAAAGCATTTTTTGCTATATTAGGCACAGCTGATTTATCTCCAAGAAGGCATAATTGTGGTTCCACAGGTATATTATAGCCCAACCACTCTTCAAGTATTCTCAGAATTTTACGCCAGAATGGCTGAACTAAAGAACATTCCCAAATCATATGTAAATAAGTGCCCTCTTCTTCCTTACATTTCCAACAGAGATTATTTCCAGCTATCCCCATCCTGTAAAGTCTAGATGGTGTATAATAGTATCTATGTACTATTTTGTAATGAATGAATTTTCCCCTAGCTTCCCTTATGTTCTTACCCACATTAGATAAAATATCCTGCCAATCATCATCATGTAAATTTAATAAACTTGAACATATTCAGAAGTAAAATGCAACATACACAGTAGTGCAGCAGTAATATTAATGCAAACCCATCCTGACAAATTCTTTGTCAGAACAACACTGTACATGCCTTTAATATACTTAAGGTATTAAGAGTAAAAGTAGAGTATGCAAGATAATACTTTTACTTAAAGGATAGTTCAGCCAAAAATATAAATTATGTAATCATTTACTCACCCTCAAGTTGTTCCAGGTTTGGAATTTTAATTTTTGGGTGAACTATCCCTTTAGCTAAGGTTCTAAATATGACTAGTAGTTTTTCCCCAATGTGGTATTAGTTGTTACCAGTGTTGGGGAAAGTTAATTTGAAAAGTAATGCATTACAATATTTCGTTACTCCATAAAAAAGTAACTAATTACGTTACTTAGTTACTTTTTATGGAAAGTAATGTGTTACGTTACTTTTGCATTACATTTTAAATCTGGACAGGGCTTGCTTGCTTGTTTTTAAAATAAAAAAGTTATATTTTTGGCAAATATAAAAGCCTTTTCACACCAAAAGGGAAATGAATAAGCCTCAGGCT